GCTACTTAACATCATAATATGATATTTAACACATATACCTGTTTATCTAAACATGTGCTACTTAACATCATAATATGATATTTAACACATATACCTGTTTATCTAAACATGTTCTATTTAACATCATTATATGCTACTTAACACACACATACTGCTTATCTAAACACGTGCTACTTAACATCATTATATAATACTTAACACATATACCTGTTTATCTAAACACGTGCTACTTAACATCATTATATAATACTTAACACATATACTTGTTTATCTAAACACGTGCTACTTAACATCATTATATAATATTTAACATATACCTGTTTATCTAAACATGTTCTATTTAACATCATTATATAGTACTTAACACATATACCTGTTTATCTAAACATGTGCTAGCTAATATCATTATATGGTACGTAACACATGTATCTGTATTAATATCATTGTGTCATACTGAATTCAAGAATAAACTGCTTATTCGAAATATTTACAACCAATATCATTGTATGATATCAAAGCAAGTTCTTTTTATCCGAATTCTAAGTCATCGATAAATAAATAAAAAAGAACCTGCTAACATGAAGGTTGTTGAAATTGATAGCATGAGCATCGGTTTGAGTAAAGACGCCAGCTGTAGGTACAGGAACAAGATTGACTAGCTCTATGTATGACAAAAGTCAAACCACGTTTCCCTCTATAACTGTGTTTGTTAAAATATTGTCACTTAGAAAACTTACCTTAGTGTAAAGAAGAACGATATCTCAAGTAGATGTAGAAGCATAGCCTTTCTCCCTCCCATCTTAGTAGATACGCACACTGCATTTGCAAGTCTCAACAACTCTGTATATTTCAACGAGAGCGCATGCTCCACAACGTCACTCCAGCTGCTCGAGTCTGTGGCAAAAGCAACTACGGTAATACAAACTGAATCTATCTGGATTCGCATCTATTTTAACACCTCGGGCTTAATGTTATTTCACCGAGATACCTAGAACAATCATGGGTTCTTCTCAAATGTAGAGTAGCTAACCAATCCCATCTGGTAGTCAGAAAACTAAGCAAACATTTGAAATTTATCAATAACAAAATCTGAACTGTGTAATATTCTTAAGGTTTTTTTTTAATATTTTTCATAGGAAATTAGAATTAAAATAAATTACTTGAAATAAAAAGATGAATAAAGTAGAAGGAAAACGATGAAAAATTAACAAAATTTGTATATTTGCCGATAATGTCTAATTTTCACATTTTTCATAACTTATAGGTTGGTTATAAAGTGACAATGAAATATCAAAGTATTTGCGTGAAAAAGGAATCTCAGAATTACAATAGGTAAGGTTAAGAGAAAGCTACAGCCATCAATATCAATAGTTTACACAACAGAAAACATCAACTCACACTGCAAGGGCAAAATTCTGACTAAACTAGAAATAGATAAACTTCCTCAAGCGATGGGAAATGTCGAAGCAACCTGAGGACAAATCGCTGTGTCATCACTAAGCCTTGTTGCAGTTGTTAAGAAATAATATTTAATTTAATTTTTTTATAAAAATAGACTGAATTCACTTTCAACGGCATCATAAAAAATCCTACTTAGAAAGGTTTTACCATTCCTTCCAAATATGAAGATGGATACAACAGGTTTTACTACTTCTTTCAACAACGCAACTAGTGTCTTACAGGGAGGTTCTGCTCACCAATGGCCATTGAAGATATCTTAATATAATTTTATTAGACGAATACGTCACACTCACCTAGAGTCTATTCCAGTACATTTCATCTATTCGCGGATGTTAAATTTATATGTTCCTTCACGCGAGTTAAAACGTTCTTTTAGTAGACCCCATAAGAAGTTCCTAAATAAACTTTAATTATGACTTTGCCAGATATTAGTAAATATTATTTGTATTTAAAAAAAAATGTAAACAAAAATCAGTTAAGAAATGTTTTTCTTATAAGACATCTTCAAATACAGTTGAAATGTGTTTTTAAGCCTAATTGTCGTTTATTTTTTTTAATTTAGAAATTTTATTTCTTCTCATTTGTGAGTGGGACAGCGGTAAGTCTACGGACTTATAACTTAAAACTCCGGTGTTCGATTCCCTGCGATAGACACAGCAAATAGTCCAACGTGACTTTGCTCTCAAACAAACAAAGTTATTACTTACTCAAACTATCAACTACTGTTTAAAAACGTATCTACCCTTGCTATCAGCATGGTTGTATTGACTAAAAGAAAATTGTTAACTTGTGTGAAGGAGCATATAATTTCATAGGTGCTAGAACACGCTCTAGAAGGAGCATGTAAATTTAAAGGTATTATAACACGCCCTAAAAGGAGCATGTAAATTTAAAGGTATCATAACACGCCTTAGAAGGAGCATGTAAATTTAAAGGTATTATAACACGCCCTAGAAGGAGCATGTAAATTTAAAGGTATTATAACACGCCCTAGAAGAAGCATGTAAATTTAAAGGTATTAT